CCATGGCAAATGTCGTCCGGCAACACCTCACCACCACGCAACTGCTAAAGTCAGAAACTTTCATTTAAATAAACGAATCTGCAGTGAAGAGGGGGAACGCGAGCAGCAAGGGAGGCGAGCAGTGGTGGAGAACGCGAGCAGTGGTGACGGGGCGCACTGGAGGAGGGGCGTTCACGGCGAGGGAGGCGTGACGAACGTGGCGGTGGAGATGCGGCGAGGGAGGCGCGAGCAATGGTGGAGACTGAGTAGTGGTGATGGAGAGCAAAGTGCAGAGAAAGAAGAAAGCTCTTCGAGTTTACGCGAGGCAGTAGCACCCTAAAGGTTTCAGCACCCAAAATAATTAAGATTATATGCCTCAGCTCCCCAGGCCACCGAGGCAGTAGCACCCTGACCAAAAAAGTGTCAGAGGCTACATTTTACTTTATGTTTTTTTTCAGCGTTATGTGTTTCGGTTTTTTCTGATAACCGAGTTAGTAGCTCTATTTCCAAATAGGTGTGATATGAAAGGTCAGAATAAGGTCAAATCTGAAGGGTTATATGCCTCGGGTGGTTATTTAACTGAGGTAATAAAGCTATTATGCCTCGGTTCTCCTGGAACCGAGGCCTATAAGTTCGCTAAAATTGAAAAAGTGTCACCGCTTTTTTATATGTTTCAGGCGTATTAGCCGTGTTAGTATCCCAATTCTGCACTAGTGTGAAGTCCCTCTTTTCTTCAACTTGCATGAACTTAGCCACTCGCTACCTAAGTTCATTCAAATTCTCTACTTGTTGCATGCATAAACTATCTTCGAATGGCCTAGGCTGTAGAGTGGTGATCATGTGATGCATGGCAACTTTGGGGTTGAGGTCCCTAATCTGCAATACTTTTCCAAACTGATCCATGAACGCTCAGAGAGACTTATTCTTCTTTTGCCTAATATTGACCAAGGCAATTGAAGTCGAACCTAGTTGGGTTGGGGTATAAGGAACACAGTTCTACGTGCCTTGTTCCTACCAAATAATTGCATTTTCATTGCACAATGTCCTTGTCCATATGTTCCAACATGTTCCTCATCATCCCCAAGGGATCCATCAACCATTCGTCTGAAGCCACCTCCACAACAATGTTGCTCATCATGTTTCTTGTGGTTACCATGTGAGTTTAAAAATGTTTTCTCACTCCACGGTGGATGCCAAATTTTTTGGTGTATAGGGTTGACCAGTCACTTCAAATGGGACAGTCGTTGAAAATCCTAGTTCCAAGTCACTTCTTGTTCGTCTCCACCTATCAAGAATACCTGCCAAAGATCCTTCGATACTAAAATTTGTTCGAATTCGAATGCAAGAATAAGAAATATATAATCAATCACCTTAATTATCTAAAAACTCTATTTATAATTTTTATAATAAACTTTTAATTAGAATTAACCTTCGATCCAAACACTAATGCAAAAAAGACTTTTAACGTCACCCTTTAGACGTCTGACCCTCGAATTTCCAACGTAAAAAATGACCGGAGGAATTTTTAGTAAATAAAACAACTATTTAGTAGTCGGTTATGGAAGGGCCCGACGTCTAAATACTCATATACGTCGGCTCCCCCGAATAGACGCCAAAACTAAACGAAAAAGTTAAAAAAAAATAATTTTTTATTCTATTTAGACGTCTGTTATGGAAGGAACCAACTTCTGAAGCACTTTAGACGCCTGTTAATTGGGGGAACCGACGTCTAAACCCTAAACCTAGAAATTTAAAAAGTCACTTTTTGACTCCATTTAGACATCTGATCCCGTCACTCCGACTTCTGAAGCACTTTAGTCGTCTGTAAATTGGGGGAACCGACGTCTAAATCCAAAATCCAGAAATTTAAAAAGTCACTTTTTGACTTTGTTTAGACGTCTGATCCCGCCACTCTGACTTTTGAAGCACTTTAGACGTCTGTTAATTGGGGGAACTGACGTCTAAACCCTAAATCCAGAAATTTAAAAAGTCACTTTTTGACTCTATTTAGACGTCTGATCCCGCCAATCCGACTTCTAAAGCACTTTAGACGTCTGTTAATTGGGGGAACCGACGTCTAAATTTTGGCATTAAAACACCGTGAACGCGAGACAGTCGTTACGCGCACTCATTGTTCATCATCTTCGTCGCGTTTTCTCTCTACGGGTTATGATTTTCAGGTTCATTTTCTCACTTTTGCACCGTTTTAAATTAATTTTACTCCGATTACATCACTCTTTGATGCATTATCTTTCATTTGAACCGATTAAAATGCGTTTTCGTTGGGTTTTGGTGCAGTTATTCTCGTGTCTTTAGGCAGCATTCTATGGCGGCGATTTCTTGCGTTTTGTACTCCTCCAATTCCCTCCAGTACGTTTTTAAAACCATCCAATAAAAAAAATGTACAATACATTCTCTTCAACTAAAATATAAAGTTGTAAACTCGAATCACTATGAGTCAGGAGCAGCCTCAGAGACGTCTAACCTATATGGATCGGACGTTTATATAGACGTCGGACCTATATAGGTCCGACGTCTATAGAGACGTCTGACCTAAAGGGTCCGACGTCTCATTAACGTCACCCATATAGACGTCGGACAGAGATTAGACGTTAAAAGCCCAAAATAACAGACGTCTAAAGTCCTTTTTGCACTAGTGAAATTCATTTAAATCTAATAACTAACTTAACGATAGTTAATTGTGCATCTTAAGCCATGAGCATAAGTGTTGAATTTTTCGATTAAGATAACAAGTTTCGGTTTGATTAGCCATTTGCGTGGCAGACTGGCCCACTCCTTTACTGGCCAACAAATGCAAACAAATTATAACCAAAACTGTAATAACAGTTTGTTGGTATTAGATTAAGAAATTTACGAATAGAAACATGTAGAAGCACTGGACGATTTAATGCAACAAAGACAAAATTTGCGTAAGGAAACATTAAAGAACATTATATGATGATGAACAATAATATATATATTAATCAATCCTTCATGAACATTTATAACAATCGGATATAACAATAAGTATTACAATTCATCACACACTCAGATATAAAAGAGCGGATTGCAACTACAAAGTTCAACTTACTTGAACCTCTTCAACATTAGCAAAGCCCATATTATACAAAGGTTAGTAACAAGTAACTAACCTTATAATATGATTGTATAGTTTTGACTAATTTAAAAGAATATCCAATACCAGCATATGAACAAATGCTAACTATTAGACGATCTTTTCACTGTAAAACGATGCAAGGCAGTCTCAGCAAAAACCATATGCAATCACCCAACTCCTTCTCATTCAAATATTCTTTATAGCCAATTGAAAAGTCATCTCTGCAACCTTCCCCTTCAAGGATCAATAATGACTATTTAAAAGTACAACAACACTTTATATATGTGAATGTGTATTTTTTCTTAAATCATATGTATATTTATACCTCTTGAAGATTTGAGAAGAGTAATTTTTGTAACGAACCCCTCATTTCTACCAAAAAATGGAAACATAAACCAGATGGAAATTCTGGTTGAATATTCCATGCATGCATAGGGTTGAAGTGGCTCATAACCCTAATGATCTCATGCTTATCTCTTGGTAACGACTATCAACAACATTTAAGTCTTGCAACCTCATTTGGAGGTAAAACTGAGCAATGAACTCTTCCGCCTTCGCATCAATCATCTCATCCCCTTCCACATCATTGCTATCACCATTATTATTCTTCTCCTTCACACCTTCTTCTTCACCTTTGTTATTATTATTATTATTATTATCATTCTCCTTCACTCCATCTTTTTCATTCTCCGCCTCCTGCACCATTTCGTTCAGCCCTACGGCCGAGGCATAACGGCTGCTACACCGAGACGATGAGCATGTATACACCGAAGTAGAATCAAACGCATCATCTCCGGGATCAACGCAATTCGCAAACGGCGTTGAGGTGATCATTATTTGAGATTGAGGAATGTTTTTACTGTTATCTTGCAGTGTAGATTGGTCGGTTTGCATGTGCAGTGGTCTCATGGACCCCACGATGTTCCTCCACACGTTCTTGGACTCCTGATCCATAATAATTTTCGATTTCCTGGAACGCCCTGATCGCATCATGAACAGCGCCACCTTAAAAAAGTTCTTGAACCCCTTTGCCTTCTTGCGGGAAGAAAAAGTATTTATTTTCTTAGGTTCTTCATGAGGGATAATTGCTTTCTGGGCATTGCTAATGATCACAGAGTTTTCAGGGTTGAGCTCCATTATGTATAGAATTATAACAAACGAGATATTTCGCCCTGCTCACAAGCAGGGGAATATAGAAGAAGAGTGTTATGAGAAAAGTTTAAACTTATATTTTATGTATATATATATATATATATATATATATATATNCCATATAGACGTCGGACAGAGATTAGACGTTAAAAGCCCAAAATAACAGACGTCTAAAGTCCTTTTTGCACTAGTGAAATTCATTTAAATCTAATAACTAACTTAACGATAGTTAATTGTGCATCTTAAGCCATGAGCATAAGTGTTGAATTTTTCGATTAAGATAACAAGTTTCGGTTTGATTAGCCATTTGCGTGGCAGACTGGCCCACTCCTTTACTGGCCAACAAATGCAAACAAATTATAACCAAAACTGTAATAACAGTTTGTTGGTATTAGATTAAGAAATTTACGAATAGAAACATGTAGAAGCACTGGACGATTTAATGCAACAAAGACAAAATTTGCGTAAGGAAACATTAAAGAACATTATATGATGATGAACAATAATATATATATTAATCAATCCTTCATGAACATTTATAACAATCGGATATAACAATAAGTATTACAATTCATCACACACTCAGATATAAAAGAGCGGATTGCAACTACAAAGTTCAACTTACTTGAACCTCTTCAACATTAGCAAAGCCCATATTATACAAAGGTTAGTAACAAGTAACTAACCTTATAATATGATTGTATAGTTTTGACTAATTTAAAAGAATATCCAATACCAGCATATGAACAAATGCTAACTATTAGACGATCTTTTCACTGTAAAACGATGCAAGGCAGTCTCAGCAAAAACCATATGCAATCACCCAACTCCTTCTCATTCAAATATTCTTTATAGCCAATTGAAAAGTCATCTCTGCAACCTTCCCCTTCAAGGATCAATAATGACTATTTAAAAGTACAACAACACTTTATATATGTGAATGTGTATTTTTTCTTAAATCATATGTATATTTATACCTCTTGAAGATTTGAGAAGAGTAATTTTTGTAACGAACCCCTCATTTCTACCAAAAAATGGAAACATAAACCAGATGGAAATTCTGGTTGAATATTCCATGCATGCATAGGGTTGAAGTGGCTCATAACCCTAATGATCTCATGCTTATCTCTTGGTAACGACTATCAACAACATTTAAGTCTTGCAACCTCATTTGGAGGTAAAACTGAGCAATGAACTCTTCCGCCTTCGCATCAATCATCTCATCCCCTTCCACATCATTGCTATCACCATTATTATTCTTCTCCTTCACACCTTCTTCTTCACCTTTGTTATTATTATTATTATTATTATCATTCTCCTTCACTCCATCTTTTTCATTCTCCGCCTCCTGCACCATTTCGTTCAGCCCTACGGCCGAGGCATAACGGCTGCTACACCGAGACGATGAGCATGTATACACCGAAGTAGAATCAAACGCATCATCTCCGGGATCAACGCAATTCGCAAACGGCGTTGAGGTGATCATTATTTGAGATTGAGGAATGTTTTTACTGTTATCTTGCAGTGTAGATTGGTCGGTTTGCATGTGCAGTGGTCTCATGGACCCCACGATGTTCCTCCACACGTTCTTGGACTCCTGATCCATAATAATTTTCGATTTCCTGGAACGCCCTGATCGCATCATGAACAGCGCCACCTTAAAAAAGTTCTTGAACCCCTTTGCCTTCTTGCGGGAAGAAAAAGTATTTATTTTCTTAGGTTCTTCATGAGGGATAATTGCTTTCTGGGCATTGCTAATGATCACAGAGTTTTCAGGGTTGAGCTCCATTATGTATAGAATTATAACAAACGAGATATTTCGCCCTGCTCACAAGCAGGGGAATATAGAAGAAGAGTGTTATGAGAAAAGTTTAAACTTATATTTTATGTATATATATATATATATATATATATATATATATTTATTTATTTATTTGTTTATTTATTAATGAGAAATATTTGAGGTTATATTATGCGTGGAAGTTAAAGAAGGGAAGGAGCCAGCACAAAAATATTGTCGTTACATAATTGTGTAACTAACAAACAGTGTCATAGTATTTGGGGACATTATTGTTTGAGGGAATTCTAATAATATTGGAATGGAAGCATACCAGAGAAGGAAGGTTCATGAGTGGCGGTTTTTTAGGCAAAGGATTCGCAGAGAAGGTTTGTTTCGGGGCAACTGTTACCTTTATTTTTTGTTCTTCTTTTAGTTGAATCGGTCCTCCAGTTTAATAGGAAAAGACATTTTCCTCTCTCTCTCTCTAACAATCAACTACAACTTGTGTACTTGCAATAAATGAAACCCTGGAAAATAATCGAGTTATGAGAAATAAGATGTATCAATTTTGTTAGTGTATTTTTAAAATAATACATTTGTACTTTTGTGGAATATATTATAAGAATATGCTTGGGAAGAATAGGTATTTTTGAAAACTTATATTAAAGAAAAAAACAATAGATTTTCTATTATCAGTTATGAATAGAGTGACTGTTGATTAAAATAAATATGAAATTTAGATTTGGATTTGTTTAGATTAAGATAATATTAAAATTTCATTTTCCTAAATAATATTATTTTAATTTAATGCGGTATATCAACATTTGAAATTTATAAAGTTAAATTTATTTTACACTAATTTCATTAGTAATGACTAAAAGAGAATAAAAATGTATAAAGAAAAAAATATTTTATATTAAAAAACAGATATATCACTTGATACATAGAGAAAACATTTTACTTAAATATTTTTTTATATGTTGCATGCGTTTCTTGTGGATGCATGGGCCATAGAACCCTTTATATACAGGGTTCTCCTCTCTCTTGGTTCATAGTTGACTTTGAAAGAATAATATAGTTTTCCTTTTATCATTCTCTCTCTTAGTTACATTTAGAGCTTGTTCATCTTTTCCATGGTTTTCGAATCAATATCACTCATTCTGACCTACCTAATCAACCAATGTTTCCTGCACCTAACCTGTTTCTCCCTACATCTATTATTTTATATATTTGTCTTTCTTTTATTAAAAGTCAAACAAAAATTAATGATTAGTTAGTGATTTCTCAACCACCAGCAACCCTCCTAACTCTCAACAACCCTAAATAGTATAAACCATAAATAACATCTGTTACCCTACATGCACCTCATTCGTTGTTGTTATTTTTTTTACTTTCATTTTTCACTTCTTCAGTGTACTATTATACTGTTTTATAGATTTAGAGTTGCAGTGGTTGTGTCCAGTAGTGTTGTGGACAGTAGTAGAGGAGGAAGAAAACAATATTGGTGGTGCTGTAGACAGTTGAGAAGGAAGAAGGTAGTGAGAGCTCACAGGTTAGTATATTATTTTTGAAGTAAACACGTAAACCGCCATTGGAGATGCGGTTAACAGTGGCGTAGTTGGAACGCAGGTTACAGTAGGTCGAAATTCGAATTTCAGCTCACCCCCAACCGCATTTCGAACTGCAGTTTAGGGGTGTCGCACTTCCAAGTGCGGTTTCACTGTGCTTTCATTTTTTTAGCCTAGTCTTCACATGCTTATCATTTTATGTTTATTAGGACATTGCATTCTGAATCTTCTCTCACTTTTGTTGTTTGTTTATTGTGATATTACGGTTTATGCTTGCTTATGATCTTTATTTGCATATTGTATTATGAATCATGTCTCGTTGTTGTTTATTATTATATTATGGCTTATAGTATGTTTGAGTATGTATGATATCCAGTTTGATTTACTACATGCGAATGTTAGATTAATAAGTTGAGAGCAACAAGTTTCAAAAGAGACCTAAGCATAACTGTGTTACCATCTTTTATCTTGGCTTCATATCCAAGACTCCTTTACCTAATGTCTATTAACTTTGAGTGTTGACATATCTATTCATATGACTTTAATCTTTAGATGGAATGTCATACTCCTGTTAGATTAGATATTACAAATACATTTCGAGAGGGTTAGTCATCTTGGTTATATTTCATATTGGTTAATTTGAAGCAACTAAGAAAGTGTTCAACTATTTTTTTAAAGTGATAGAAACAAAAATTCATTTACAAAATTTTGATAGACTTTTAACCTATTAAAGTTATTTTAAACTATATTAATATTAAACTATACGTGTTAATGAATTATTATTTCATTTAATTTTTTATTTAGTATTTAGTTTATAAAATTTTATGTTATATTGTATTTTAATTATTTTTATGTATTAGTTAGTAATTTAAGTGTATTTTTTTTAAGTAATAGTTAATATGCTTTTTTTTTAATTTTTTTATTTGTTATTAATTTTTCACTGTTTTATACGTGAAGTTATATTTAATTTAGAATAAGTTTAATTTTATTTATTTAGTATTTAGTTTAGAATAGAATATTTTTTGTTATTTTTTATTTTTTGTGTACAATTTTTATGTGTTAATTATTTTAAGTTTTGATTTAATTTATAAGATGTTTATATTTGGTAAATTTTATACAAATTTTAAAAGTTCTCGCAAATTTTTAATTGTTATTTTTTAAATTTTAATATTGTAATGCTTATTGTAGGTCTTATTTAATTATATAAGATGGATAACTATCCATTTCTCAATTCTCAAATAAATTCTGATTTTATGTAGGAATTTTCTTCTTTTATAAATGAAGTTGGTGAGGGTGATTACACAAATAACTTTTCTACTGATCAAATCTTCCCATCACGTGCCGATTTAATTAAATGGGTTCGAAAGATTGCATTCGACCTTGGATTTGTTGTTGTGATTATAAGATCTGACACAACAACTGGTGAAGCTGGAAGAAAGACATTCGTTGTGTTAGGCTGTGAAAGGAGTGGGAAGTATAGAAAGTGTAAGCTAGATGTTCAACCTAGTGTATCTAGCAGAAGAAAATGTGAGTGTCCGTTTAGGTTAAGGGGTAAACCTAAAGGACACAGTTGAGCGTTAAAGGTTATGTGTGACTATCACAACCATGAATTAACGAAGACTTTGGTTGGTCATCCTTTCGCGGGGAGGTTAAATGCTACTGAACAATCAATTCTTGTTGACATGAGTAAGAGTCAAGTTAAGCCGTCAAATATTCTTTTAACTCTTAAAGAACATAATGAAGATAACATGACGATGATAAAGCAAATATATAATGCGAGATACACTTTCAAACGATCTTTGAGAGGGTCGAGAACGAAAATGCAACAGTTGATGATGTTGTTAGATAGAGACAAATACATCCAGAGAAGTAGATGTTTGGACGATTCGAACGTAGTGAGTGACCTATTTTGGACACATCTCGATTCAGTGCACCTAGTAAATTCATTTAATATTGTCTTCTTAATGGATACAACGTACAAGACGAACAAATATCGTCTTTCGTTGCTTCAGATTGTAGGAGTCACAACCACTAGATTGACATTCACAGCCGCCTTTGCATTGCTTTCAAGTGAATGCCAAAATAATTTCACTTAGGCACTGAAAACGTTCAAAGGATTACTACTGACATCAGAGGGCGGTCCACCCGTTGTTGTCATTGACAGAGACCTTGCCTAGAGATGACATCTATGGTTGCTCCTTCACATAAAGTGAAAACCAAAGGTGCCCAGAAGACTAAATTTGTACGTCAAGAGAGGTCTACGAAACGTGACCCATCATATTTTGAGCACGTTGACACTTTTCATTCAAGGACAGAGCCTTCATCACAAAAATCACAAGTCAAATCGAAGCCAAAAGAAGTTGTGCGAAGACCGGTACCGATGTTAAATCAATTTCATCTGATTTGTCATCCATACATTGTCGATGTTGTTGATGTTGTTGCCGATGGTCATTGCGGTTATCGATGCATTGCTGCTTTGTTGGGTCTAGGTGAAGAGGCATGGCCTGTTATACGACATGACCTTTATCAAGAACTAACTCAGTGGCATGATGAATACGCAAAATTAGTAGGAAGCTATGATTGATTGAAAGAACTACGACAGTCATTGCTTGTCCACGATCAATCACATGTATTTCTTATTTACCTCATAAACATTACTTATTTGTTATTTTGTATTTCTTTTCATAAATACTTACCTTCAAGCAATACAGGTTAATGCTAAGAAATGAATGACAATACCGGACATTGGCTATGCCATTGCAAATAGATACAATGTCATCTTAGTATGTTTGTCCTATGCTCAAAGTTTTAACATATTCCCACTACGCACTTCACCGCCTACTGATATTAGACAACATCAGATCTTATGCATTGGATATGTTAATGGATGTCATTTCATACAGGTAAACTTCCATTTCTATTATACTATAACCATTACCCATTATGATTCATTTAATAATATTAAGTTTTCAGGTTCAATTACAAGATGGTTGTCCGTTACCCATCGTGGACATCATTTCCTCAAACCATTGTTACCCAGAGGCGCGATCATGGTCGTCATTTTATACACATAGGATGCAATCATTTATGGAGTTAGTGAGAGTGAATAGAACTTATATAGATCTTGGGGAAGACTGAAATTAAGTTTGTTTTATAGTAATTTATTTATTCAAATGTAAATATTTTTTGTACTAATTCATTGTTTTGAATTGATTGTCGTATTAATTGTCCTTTATTTGAATTGTGTCTCGTTATATAATTTGATTGAATGAAGACGATTCATATTAACGCGTTCAATAAATTATAATTAATCACAGTATGAAAACCATACATAAAGATCCTGGAATAAATACTCAAAGTATAATTTAGCGTTACATAAATAAGCATTAGAAAAACATATATAACAATGTCCTTTCAAGAAAATGATGCTTGTCCATGCACATGACGAGCACCTCTACTAGTACTAGGCTCAAACTCCTCAATGGATCTACGAGCAACTTGCAGTTTCTCAGTAGTATGCTGATAAACTACAATGCCCTCTGTGACGTCTCGATAGGTTAACATGCTCTGCAGCATCCTGATCACACGTCGCATACCACCCTGAAATGAATATAACAAAATAAATAAATTAACTATGTAAACAACAATTGATATTATAAACAATCACACTTAGTTTCATTACATACCAACAATCCAGATTCAGGCGACTGTCTACGACGAACTGGGGCACCGGGATGTCATCCGGAAGGTGTCGCCTCATGCGCGGTGCAAGACTAGGTCGGTCATCGTTGTTAGCTAGAGTGATGTATGGTTGGGACACCCATCTAAACCACACTAGGTATCCATCAGCGCACGCAGAGGGCTCATGAGCTTCAGCGACACCAGTAATGACATGCTCTACATACCTCAATCGATTTAGATCAATCGTAGGAATGTCTGACAATGGAAGGCTCTCAGGCAAACGTGGTATGTTCTGCTGAAAACTAAACTAACGCAACATGCGTTTAGGCAGATGTCAGTAAATCATGTCGCCTAGTCGGATCCATTCTAAAAACATACATATGGCCATGAATGGATAGGTACGTCTGTGCGAAATGTATGGATGCTAGATGATCGCATCATAAGTGAGCTCATCCAGATATGTCCGCCCCTCCGTCATACTCTAACCTTGCCTCTGATAAAGACATATTTTACCATGATTTCAGTGTTGAATTAAGAGAAAATATCAACTCTTTCTTAGCTTTTTGCCTTGTAAATCCTAGTTTTCTTTTAGTTTCTTAAGTGGTTGCATCTTAAATTTTAATGATTCAATTTCATCACTAATCCCCATTGTTTAGTATGTTTTGGTCATTTACATCCAAGCTTGTATGCCAAACTGAAGAACCATATAAGAAAAAATGAAGGTAAAAGAAGAAGTTTTGAGAGCAAAGATAAATGCTGAAGCTGGGGTGCGATTGGCGTGCAGCTGAGCCCCATTCGTCTAGACTTGCTGTAGTTGAGGTGCAGCTAGCGTGCAGCTGAGCGCTAGCTCTCTGGAATGCTGCTGCTGGGGTGCAATTGACGTGCAGCTGAGCGCCAACTTTGGAATGCTGCCGCTGGGATGAAGCTGGCGTGTAGCTGAGCAGTGGCGACGCTGATGTGACAAATTTGGTCTATTTAGGGCTGAAACGCAAGGGGATCTACATCTTTTGCTGCCTAAACACGATTTCTCTCATTTGGAGCTCTTGGAGGCGAGCTAGGAGCTGTGGGAATAGTCCTTCTTCACCCTTGGATCTTCTTCCTTGTTCTATTTCCACCATTGTTGTAAGCTTAAGCTTTCCATTCATGGAGGGCTAGTTTCATTGTTGTTGGGGGATTGATGTAGCCACTGAACTCTTATGTAAACTACTGTGTTTTGAATGAATATATGCCTCTTTCATTAATTGTTAGTGTTTAATTACTTATCTTAATGCTTGTTGTGAAATTGCTACCCATAACATGATTTTAGGGTTTGCTTGATATTGGAAAATGTTGAGTAAATCTGGACTTGGATTAAACACCTAAAGGAAATAATATATAGGGATAAAACTAGGAACTTTGGTTGTCTTAGATCTCAATTCTTAATGCGGAAATAATTGTTAGGTCTTCCAAGGGATTAGAGCCTAATAAGGAAGTCTAGGCTCTCTCTACCAAGGGATTGGGTTTGAGTAATTTAGTAGATTGACATTGGCATATTAATGAAGAGGAAGTGATTTTCTATACATAAGAATGAAGTAGGTGAAATCATACCCCCAACAATATCATTCCATATCATTTCTAATCTTTCCATTTCCAAGTGTTTGAGTATCTAAGATCACTTTTATCATTTATGTTTCATATTTACTTTAATTGCACTAAAACCCAAATTATGAAGCATTATTTAGTCTAAGTTAGTTGGAAATTATACGATATTTTGGTGACACAAGTCTCTTGGAAAACGATATCTGGTCTTACCGGTTTTATTACTTGAAACAATTTGGTATACTTGCCAAAGTCTAAACAAGTTTTTGGCGCCGCTGCTGGGGACTCGGTGTTAATACTTTACTTTTGTGTGATTTTTAACCAATTTAGGCTTTATTCTTATATTCTTTTTACTGTGAATATATCATGAAGCCCGTGGATTGAGTTCTTTCTACCTATCTGACACTTGCCTCCTTCCCATGCCAGGAAGGTGCTCATATATCCACTATACAAAAAACATTACTTAAAATCTTGTAAAACTAAAATATACCTGTAGAAGAATGGAATATCCAGTTATATGCTTGTCGCTAGGTGCCACCTCTTCTCAAGGGAAACGATCAATCCATGATCGGCATACTCGTATGATAGGTTGACTAAGGAAGCCAACTCCCACATGGAGACATAAGGCTCAATAGCCTCATGGTACATTCCAAAATGTTTTAATTTTTTACCATGGGACATCACTTTGATCTCCCCTCGATCCTACATAAAAACACAAAAGTTATATAACAAAAATAACTAAACAATTAATGAACAATTAACATTTAGGTTGATGACTAACCCGACCTTGTCATATGGCAAATGCAACATGTTGCATATAATGTGTAAGCAAGGAGGTGTCACATAGACCTCTTGGAAATCCACCATCTTCAGCTTTATCTTCAACTTCATCTTCATCTTCATCTTCTTCATCACTATAGTCATCCTACTGTTGAACATCCTCCTGCTCAACATACTTGTCCTCACCATATCCCTGCTGTATAATTTTGTCCTGCTCCTCATACTCATCCTCATGAATAACATCCACAACATATTCTTGTATGCGTCTTCTACGAGCAGATGTCGTAGGTCGTCTCCTTTCATCATGTGATGAAATAGAAGGCTCACCACGAGAAGATGAAGTCTCACCACGAGAAGATGATCCACCTCTAGTTTTAACCATTTCTATTAACCAATTATATCATTAACCAATTATATACAAAAAAATAATAATTACATAATAATAAATAAGTTTAATACATCATTTGGTCCCTACTTTTGGGGGTTTGGTTCAAAGTGATCCTATCTTTTAAAAAAGTTCATTAAGGCCTCATATTTCGTTAAAAAATGTTCAATACGGTCCTTTTTGCTCACGCCGTTAAAAACATAACAGTGAAAATGACACCATGGCCAAACCTGAGTGAGTTGTGCAGTTTGATGAATATGTGGCACGTGTGAAGTGAAGTGAGCTGGTGGAAATATTTTAAAAAAATTAAAATGACGTAAGGTAGGTGGTAGGTTTAAGTATGGGTTAAAGAAAATTACCCTTATCTAAGACTAATTTCGCCATTTGTGGGTTCAACATTGTGCTGCAGGTGGTGTTGTAATGAGGGTTGGCTGTTGATTCCTTGAAGGTGAAATTGGAACAGCGTATGTACGTGAGGTAAGTGGTCCTTATCTAAGCCTAATTACTTGATGTTGTTGTTGTTATATTTGGGGTTAGGATTTAATTATATTTTGTTCGATTGACGATGATTTTGGGGGTATAAATTTGTTGGTTAAATATTGTATGTTGAATTGTTTTGTAATGCGTTGTCTATTGTGTTTTAAATATGATTATAGTTGTCGCTTCTTGGGTGGTTGAAGACAATGAGCAAGATTGTCAGCTTTTAAGGTTGATAGTGGTCTCATTCTTGTTAGTTTAAGTAATTTTAGTGGTCCCCGTTTGCATTTGAGTTGTAGGGATTGGGATGTCTGAGGAAAGGTTTGAGGTAGTGGTCCACCACGGTGGGACCTTGATAAAAAAAATTCCCCTTTAAGTACATAGATGGAGAGATTGCTTATTGGGACGTTGATCCCGATAAATGGAGTTTTTTTGAAATACTAGGTGCACTAAAAGATATGGGGTACCTTCAAGTGAAAGAGTTATATTACAACGTACAACATTTATTACATAAACTATATGATGATAGAGGAGAAATGAATATGGTGAAGGTGGCAAACGTTTTAGGGAAAGTTGACTTGTATGTTGTACATGGCGTGAACCATGTAGAGGTTGTAGAAGATGATGTGAACCAAATTTATGTACTTTGTGAAGCTGAAGCACATGGTTCGAGTGGTGAGGGT